GATGACCCAGGGCGATGGAGTGAGGATCTCCTGGACCCTACACGCACATCTTTTGTAGTCGAAGCAGCACGCCTTCTGGAGATGCTGACATCATTCAGGCTTGAAGAAAAATCCGCACTATTCTCATTCTCTCGCTTTATCTTCACGTTAGAGGGAAGTTGAGGGAGTTGAGGAGTGGAAGACTTTTCTCTTCTGAGATAATCAGACATTGCTGCTGTTCCCTTCCTCCTAACATTTTTGTGATACTCCGTAGCCGCTTCGAATAAGGTTGCAACCCGCTTCCTCTTTGGGCTTGGGGAACGAAATATATTCTGCAAAAATTCACCACATGGCTCATTTTCCAGGGTTCCAGAAGTGTTGTACTTTGCGTTGTTTGGGGGAGTGGATAATGACCGGGCCTTAGCGAAGATGCTTGAACAAAGAGGAATGGCATATACCCTTAGCTGAATCGAGGGCTCCTCAGAAAATTGGCCTTCAACTGCTGATGAAGAGGGGTGTGGTGGTGATAGACGCTCATTTTGTGGGCTAGACCTTGATAAGGTCCCGAATATAAGGATGTCTGATATTTCTTGCGGCGCCGACTGGGTCTTCAGCTCTGGGGAGGGTATATGCTCATTGACGTGGACAAGAATGCCAACAGGACATTGCCGGGGAGAAGAGAACTCTTCATAACCATCCTCTGCTGTCTGATAAGTCCGCAACAATTTGTGTCTGATCCAATCTACTGTTGTGCAGTCCGAGCTATGGAGTTCCAGCGAGGGGCCAATAAAGCAGACAATTGGTATTCGATTTGGGTTGACATAGGCTCTCAAGGATAATTTCGCATTCCGGGATAAGCTACTGTGGCTGGTGGGATCTGGGTTAATTAATCGTATGCCTATATGGGTGCCATATCAGTAAACTGCCTTCTTGGGGGGGGGGGACTGGAGCACCCATCTGCCTACCCCTTAGAGACGCGCTTGAGTCGGAGTCAACATCAATGGCGCCAGACCACACCTCCATCTAACTGGCATGAACATATAACATGCAATATAAGAGCATGGAACTACTGCGTAAAAATAAAATATTCATCGAGGATAGACGGAAGTAAATAAATGTCTAATTAGTTTAACTACTGGGCCCCGGAGTTAATCGCGGCTTCTCAAGCGCGTAACTTGTTACTGCCACGTGACCATCCATGGATCCATGAATCCAAGCAACTTGATATTCGCAAGTCTGCTCTCCAACTTAGGGGAGAATTAGAAGTAATAAAATAAAAAGGGAGGAATATGCCATAAGAGATCAATGGGAAGAGTATATGGGAAAGGGCTAGTTATCATACAGTCAGATCAAAACATAAAACGCCGAATGTGATCATAAGCAAACAAAGAGATGAACTTTCAGCCCTGGGAGGGTATAAAGATGGATTCCGGGTCTAAACTCCGAGGGGATAGGCTCGGGGAATAGAAAGTATTCGATCGAAGCTGGAATTTTACCTGTCGGAAGAGACATGTATATACAGCCTCCGACCGAGGTTATTAATCTATGCTGAAGGGAAACAATCCGTAGGCAAGAAAGGCCAAGATATAACATCCGAGAAACTAGAATTCTTCCGTTTCCTGGAAGAACATCGAAAAGCTGATGATGGTTCCATATATTAATAGGCCACCCAAAATTGACATGATCATCGCCGGGACCTGGATTGAGCCGCTGTGAGCCAACACCGCAGGGAGAGCTAGTACCAATAGGATATTAATTAGCATATGAACAAGAGCAAGTGACGTATAAGATGGTTATGATGTATATGCTCGTTTGGGATATAATAGAAGCTGCACATACCGATTCCCATCACAACCAGGAAACCAGTGAACCACCGCCCAAAGTCCACCGCCCCGCTGTTGGAGCTCTCCATGAAATCATCCGAGCTTGCGCATCGGCTGCATATCCAGTTCGGTATTGGTGCAATGACATATGTCGCAACAACGAGGAGTGGTAGGTAGTTGTGCCATAGCGCCGCGGAGAGAATAACCAGCAGGAAGCCGATAGCAAGAACCTATAAGAGGTGGTTAGCCGGGCCCTGGTGACCAAACAAAGTAAGGGGAAATTTCTTCTGCGAGCTTACAAAGGAGAGAGCGATGATAGTCTTGAGGCCCGGCATCGTGACAGGCAGAGAGATAGATCGATCTGACGGAGAGGCTGACGCCTGGTTCGATGGTAGAGTACAGACGTCAAATGCAGACCAGGCAGTCGTATCACCGTCGCATCAAAAACAAACTGGCAAAATAGAGCTCGACAATAAGCTGATATACTGCTGTCTTGCGTTCGATCTTCCTCTTCCCTCGTCGTCCTGCTTTACCTGCGTCTTCCTGGTCTTCCTGCTGCTTCCTACGGCTTGAACTTGCGAATGACGATGCGAATTCTTACATAAGCAGCCCAACTGTCCGAAGCTCTGGCGCTAACCCTAAAAGGGCTGCGAGCTACCGCGTCCCTTCTGCCTTGAAGCAGCGGAAGAAGAAGACGGCCCATCATAAACACACCAGCAGGTCTTCCACAGGCAGTACCTCCTTCATCCCTCCGCAGCGGCTTGCTCGTCGATACTCGTTCTCTTACTGTCATTGCTACGCCACCGCAGCCATGTTTAGAAATAACTATGACAACGACTCCGTTACTTTGTGAGTTGGCACCGCCTGGAGTATCTAGAGAGTGAGATATGGTTGCTAATAACCAGAATAGTTCGCCCCAAGGCCGGATATTTCAGGTTGAATATGCACAGGAGGCTGTCAAGCAAGGCTCGGTGGTAGTCGGCATAGTCAGCAAGACACACGCTGTCCTGGCCGCTCTCAAGGTGGGATAGCAGCCGTCCACCCACTAGATTAGGCCGGTCATATCTAACAGTACAATCCCAAATAGCGAAATGCGGAGGAGCTATCGTCATACCAAAAGAAGGTCATTGCAGTTGATTCCCACATGGGAATTGCGATTGCTGGTCTCGCCTCTGATGCCCGTGTGCTATCGAACTTTATGAAACAACAATCCCTAGCTTCGAAGATGACATACGGCCGCCCTCTCCAAGTAGAACGTATCGTCAGTCGAATCGGAGACCGTGCCCAAACAAACACACAGGTTTATGGAAAGAGACCATATGGCGTCGGTTTACTGATTGCAGGTGTGGATGAGGCCGGGCCTCACCTCTTCGAATTCCAGCCCTCCGGCATGACGCAGGAGATGGTTGCCTGCGCAATTGGAGCTAGAAGCCAAATGGCTAGAACATACCTGGAGCGGAACTTGGATTCGTTTGCCGACTGTGGCCGTGAGGCTTTGATCAACCATGCGCTGAAGGCTCTGAAGGAGAGCTTGTCACAGGACCGAGAATTGACAATCGACAACACAACTGTGGGTGTTACTGGTATTCCAAGTGCGGCCACCAACGGAAAGATCGATACCTTTAAGCTATACGATGGACCAGACGTGACGGCCTTCCTTGAGAGTGCAAATGAAGAGACGGCATCGGGCGAGACCAAGCCGTCAGAGGAAATGGAGGTGGATTCGTGATGATAATGATCCCTTAGTCATGGTTATGTTCAACAACAGGAGATAATCCTCTGCTTTTTATTTGAAGCGCTTATTCATCTTACAATGAACCTCCGTGACAAATTCTCTTAATGCTGAAACGTTGCCTGCCAAACAATTCTACCTAAGTCTATAAATGACAATATTTAGTAGTTAACCCATCCAGATGGAACCATGCCAGATCCGAGATCATCTAACATTTAGTTATCCTTTCCGAATTCCACCTCCCAGGTTAGCCCAAAACGGCCCTGGCTTAGTTTGTAATTCCTCAGCGCGTCAAGAGCGTGCTCTACGTTCTTACATTCCACCAATATCTCCTTGTTCACAGTGCTCACAAAACCCTGCTCGACGCTCTTGTCAACCCACGCAAGAACGCCATCCCAGTAGTTATCGATGTTCAGGAGAACTATCCCCTTGTCGTGGATGCCCAGCTGATTCCATGTAGTCATCTCCATGGCCTCCTCGATCGTGCCGAATCCTCCGGGCAAAACCAGGAACCCGCTTCCAGGACCACCAGAGATAACTTCGCCGGCCATCATACGCTTGCGGGTATGCATGTCCGGTACGATGGTAGTCATACCATATTCCGGATTTACAAAGCTGCTCTTCCCTCCACACTCTGCAGTATTGACATTCGTAGATTCAGTCCTCTCTGGCAACTTGCCAGCACGCTTGTCGGTAGTAGCCAGTGGGGTCTGGTGGCCATTCTCAATCTTTACGAGAGCCGACGGGATAATGCCATGAACTGACTCGGGCCCTGAAAGTGAGACCAAGGTCCGAGCAACTTCTCCCATAAGACCAGCCGTGCCTCCTCCATAGACGAGTTTGACTCCTTCCCTGTGGAACAGCTCGGCGAGGGAGCGGGCTGCCTCGATGTGGGCGGGGGACTTCCCAGCAGCAGAACCGCAGCTATTAGTTACGTCAGTCAGCGGGGTTCCTACAGCTAAATACGTAGCATGGGTGTAGGAACAGGAGAAGGTAGGGGGGGATATATATACATACAAGACACAGACGACCGGTCGTGCTTGGTTCGAAGCCGCAGACATCTTGACGGTGGCGTGGTTTTGATAGGAAAGTTGAGGGTCCAGCATGGCAGGGCTGCCTCGCATAGTTAAAGTACTCCATAGTAGACGGTTAGTAATATGCTTACGTCGAGGGCCACCACAAAGAGTCGATCAAAGAATCTCATTTCTGACTATAATATGGTTTTAAGCGTGCCACTTATGACGGCGTTGCAACGGCAGCGTATTCACCAGTATGCAGGCGGTTAACTATAAAAGGGTGCTTGCTTTATCTCGGATTCTCAAGAGTAATTGCAAGAGAGGTAGGTCCCAGTGGGCTCCAGGGAAGCCAGTAAACCCAGAGCTAGGAAAGTAACTTTTGACTCCGCTATTTTGGCTATTGAGAGCTGTAAGGGTTCCTCTGCCAGAGGGGCGGAGCTTTAAAGTGCTTCACATCGTGTTGGTGATAGCCCTCTTTTTACCTTTCCCTATTGAAGGTTGATTGGAGTCAGTCACACCTCCAAGTGCAGGTGAGGCGCTAGGTGTATCTGGTCCTCCTGGTTTTGGCACTGGAGTCCCCGATGGTGATCGCACAATGGACTTGGTTGTTCCGACACTGCCAGAAGGGTTCTCAGTGCCGGGAACTGCCAATGTATTTGCGGCATTCTTTGAGATGATGAAGGACCCTGGTTCACCGACCAAAGGCATCTCATCCATATACTCGTCACCATAACGGGAGAGGAGATTGAGCGCATCTGCAAGAGTTCTCATATCCTGACTTGCCGCTGCGCCTAGCTTGGAAGGCGGCGACACTGCGCCGGGTGTTGTATTTTGGGTACCGGGTACAGGAGTGGCTTCTTTTCCAGCTTGTGCGGATTGGGTAGCAGTCGTTTGGCTTGCCTCTGTGTGCTTCTGAATTGGGGGAGTGTACGTATGGCCGTGAGATGGCGTAAAAAGCAGCTGTTTCGATGCGACAGGGAGTACCTTGGTGAGAGACGTGACAGTAGATAGCTAAGCGTAACGTTAGTCAGTAAAACGGCCGGTTGTCGCTGTTGTGGGTTGGGGTATTACCATTCGGCGTCCAACCACACTCATCAATGACGGTGCCATATAAACAGAATCTCCTACAACAAAGTAGGTAGCCAGTATCTGGACCTCCTCCTGCATACCCGGCTGCCGGCGCCTATTTTGCTTCCTAATAACCCATATGTTCGATGGTTCTTGTGGAGCATTTCCAGCCGCTACAGCAGCAGCAGCTTCCTGTATAGGATCCTGAGCTACTACAAATTCCAGGCCTTGCATATTCTTTAACCTCCCTTCAAATGCTTCCCGAGTCTCGATGAATTGACGAAAATTCTCATTGTGCATCGCTTGCAATGTCAAAGTCGCATTATTCGATGTGGAATCGAAAAAAGGCGATTCTGCAAAGTAGAACAAAACTACGATACCAGAAGCACGCCATTAGTTTTGATTCAATTTGACAGTAAAGCAGAGTAATAGATTCATGCGCGATCTCACTATTATTGGAGTGGAGGAAGCCGCCCATTAACTGGACGTGTTGGGGAGACCGCCATGTTATCTCTTCCAAAACAACATCAGTCGAGCTCTCCATGATGGCGACGTCGATGAGGGCCAAGCCTCATTCATCATTTGTTACCCCGCCAGAACAGAGGCCAGAACAGAGAGCTAAAGACCCAGGCGGAGGAACACTGCTGCTTTGTCGATCGCGAGTTGGACCTGGAGGTTTTGAGACTCAACTTGACCACGGCTTCTGTGTTTGCACTGTTTGCAACAGACTAGTCAAAGTACGAAACTAAGTTAACTAAGTAAATGGCCATGACGTCACGCCCTCTCGAGATATAAATTGACATACGCCAAAGGAAAGCCTAGAGGGAGCAAGCTTGCTTGCCAGGGGCACATAATAATAATAGTAATGCAGTGAATTAAAATTATTGAATGGAGCAAATTAAAGCCTGGCGAGTGGAGCCATAGCGATTATTTCTCCAGGTAGTTTAGTTACCCCGGACCTTCTTCCAAATTACCTATTCCGTTCCGTCCTGTTCGTCCATGTGGCCGTTAATAAAATAAAAAAAAAGTAGTAGTGTCAGGGAATTGAAGAAAAGAAAAAAAGTAGAAATAAAATGAATAAAGGAATGGTGGGGGAGTGTTAGACTGGCATGGCCAGCACTGAGAAGTGGTTTAAATAGGGGCATATCTCTGCAGCTTATCGACTTCGTCAAGGCAAGTCATTGCAGCAATCCAAGGGAAGCTGAGGAGTTTGTCTTGGTGTGCATGCGTGCTTCTAACACCTGGCTTCTGTCCGGAGCCTTTTCCGTCTATGGCCACCCAAAAACAGGCAATCGAGCGCTCGAGGGCTTCTGTTCCCCCTGATTCCGTGCCTCTGATCATAGAAATCGTGAACTCAACGAGTCGGTTGTATTCTATGACAAAATGTGACAAAATGTTAGGGTATATGATTCTTTTTCCTTCTTCCCATTTTTAAAAACCTCATGGGGGTCCATTTCACTCACCATCCCGCATTTCTTTTGCATTATCCTTGTCTCTCCGACGTTGCTTATGTCCGTGGCCAAGAATAGTACCGACAAACAGTTCATATTCTGAGATAGAACTCTTCAAGGGCGTGGCTGAGTATTTACGCATTAATTCGCGAAGCTCATCCTCATAACTAATAATTCCCAGTGCGTCAGCCCGATAAATATCCATAAACATATCAAGAAAGAACGAGGTGAATGGTGGCTCATACATATCCCTGGTATCATAGAATATCCCCTTGAGATGAGTCCAAAGAAAGCCATCCACCTCTGACAGCACATAGTTCCAGATTGAGCGAAGAACGTTTGTATTGGTATTGATATCAACAGCCCCTGCATCCCGTAGCTGACAAAGGAAGCTTCGCTCGTCGATAGAACGATAGAGTCGACCTAGAATATTATTACTCTTGTAGTATCGAATTCTCCTATGGTCACTATCGTCTTCGTCTTCGTCATCATCATCCTGCATGGTTGATTTTTTTTCACCAATAATACTTTCAATGCTATCTGCAACACGGAATCTGGGACTTGGGGCCATGAAATCTGGCCGGACTCGCGGGGCTCTGGGGATGCTGAAGACATTGACCTGGAAATGTATGAGAATTACTGTTAATAATGGGAGAAGAGTCGGACAATAAACGTACCGGTATCCCGCTCTTTGAGTAGTCTACCGCAACGGAATGTAAATGAGCGAGCTTCAAGCATGCTTGGTCCAAAGTGCCGAACTCCGACTGGTCCGCAATTGTTTGGTGTGTAGTTGCAATGCGGCCTAATTGATCCTGCTGCATAAAAGTAACAAAGAAGTCAATGATATCTTCAGTTTCGACCTTCCTGTCTAGCTCTTTGGCTTCAACTCGAGGATAGTCGGCAGGTGGAATAGTCTTTCGAGGAACTAGCCGGGTATCATAGATAATATTGTAGAGATCGCCATCAAGATCTCCACCACTTAGCATACTTGGAAGATCACGATCACCATGTTGACTGAAGGCAACACAATTATGTAGCTTGCGAAGAGGTGAGTTTGCTGGGACGTCTACTGCATTGACAACCTGGATATCTCCTGGATGCAGAGCTGGTGACCGTGTGATGACAACATTATCACGAACGAGAATCTCACGTCGACCGTCTCCCCCTAGATAAGCGCAATAAATTTCGTTTTCCTTTAAATAGCCAGTTTCATCCATAATTCCGTAAAGTGTGACGGCATTGGGAACGCGGATTCTTGCACGATATTTTAGGTCGCGAAGCCTTAACAATGTAGTGAGCTCCATTACTCGCTTCAGGAAAGGGTCTTGGGTATACCGTATTCCCAATCCCTTGAGAACTAAGAACAACCATGGTAGCCGAAGTGACTTGGGTACAGGTGAGTCCTCGAGGAATTTGGCAGCTCGTTCTGTGGAATTGAAGGTTGAATAAAGAAAGTTTATCTCGTCCTGTTGTAATTGGTGGAAAGCTTCAAATGGAACCTCTAAGTCTTCCAAAATTTTTATAATCTGGTTGTTCAAGTAAAATGGTAATGCTCTGATTCCGGCCCCACAGATCTCAATGTTGTATAGATCATCTGTGGGAAACTTGACCATTGACTCTCGAAGCATCAAGAATTCGCCTTTTCTCCTGGTATCCAGAGACACCATCCCTTTGGCTCCTTGAATATAAATAAAAATTAGCACACATCACACTAAATTACCAAGAGATATATATGCTATATGTAGTAGGAATTTGGTTTCGTGGGGCGTGTAAGATAGTTGACTAACCTGCAATTCGGATCTGGAAAACTGTCGGTTTCACCTTCTCTCGGAGCGCATATTCATTCCAGATCCTGTACATTAGATCGCGAGATATAACTCCGACCCCATCACTGAAGATACGGTCATTTCTCTTGACGTCTGGTGCTCTCATCCAGACTACCTCCTTAGAGACAGATATGGAGGTAAGAGTATCAGAGAATGCTTGGCCAATCCTAGCTGCTTGCTTGGAAGGAGAACGTATATGGTCAAAGTAGCCGATATTGCCGATGATTGTCCTAGCATTGAGATAGTCACCGTTTGCTGTAGTGAAAGGGGCAGCAAACCAGCAGGTCTGGGCTCGCAGGGAAGAGTGAGAAAACCCAAGAAATTCGAACTCACGGCCTGCAATTTCAATACCTCGCTTCATAACTCCGGCAAATCTTTGATGGAAAATTTGTTCCAGATTTGCACTTGGATCAAAGAATACAGGGTCACCTGTCTCGTCAAGAAACTCGACACGAATGAAGTAGTCAATGTTGTCTAAATATTTGCGTAAAATTCGGTTCTTCGTTTCTGCGTATGGACCGGAAAGATAGATTCCGGCAGGAGTAACCGTTGCCCGATGCACCAAAACGTTTTTCTCATGCATAAGATTGATGTCCCATTCAGTTCTTGCTTTTAAGATGGTATCTAGACTTTTCTCCAAGGTCTCGGTAAGTGCTTCAATACTAGCATCAGAGGCCAATACACCAGGTGACGGGTAAACTGAATTTCCGTCTATCCGCATAAGTGCCTGGGCAACAATATCAGAGGAATGTTGTTGATGTAGCCGGTGGACGGTTGGGAGAAGTAGCGAGGCTTGGTCCAGCGAAAGCTCTCCATTCCAAACGAGTTTCAGCAGCTGGAATTTGACACGGTAGTCAAATGGCATACGCACCAGATAGGCCCCAAATTCCCTGTCTAAAAGTTTGTAGGGCCGTCGAGGACAAACGCACATATCATTCCATGTGCTCATCTTGGGGACGTTGCGGTCATGGGCTAAGTTGCGCACCACACCAGTATCTCGAGGGTCCTGGAGGGCGAACCTATATGTAAAACATCTTGCGGAAATCTTTTCATGACCGGACGTTATATACCCGACTCTTCTCTTTGGTGGTGGAGGCCGCCCTTTTGTCTGGAGCAACGCTGCCATTTGCACTTTCATTTGCTCTATTGGATCAGAGATATAGAACCTTGGGGCGACCTCCGTGGTGATTGTAACAGATGGCTTCGCATAAGCCCCCACGTAAATATCGTCAGCCACATTCCAGTAGGGTATTTCCATGCTGGTTTTTACCATGGACCGAATATCTGTAAAGAGAGCTTCGAACGCAGTCTTCCCAATGTGGATGACTCCTGGGCATGGAAATCGAAAGTATTCAACAAAGACTGGCTGATTTGCACGGTAGTCCCATGACCCACAGGACATCATAGTGACCTTAAAATGCCTGACTCGGTCGATCTTCCCTGCAATCGATCTTGGAGCGGGAGCAAAGCGCGCGTTCAGTCGCTCCTCTTCTTCCTCACAAAGCGATTGTAGAAGTTGTTTATGGGGTATGTTGGTGCTCTTGCTCACATAAACAGGCATCCCATATAGCTTTAGAGTAGCCGGGGTGCGAGATGGCCTGCCAGGCCCTCGTACGGGTTTCATGCGTGATTCATATGTGTCGAGGAAGTGCTGGCCTTTCCTAACATCAGCAACAGTGATTCTACTATTTTTCCGGCCCACCTTTTGGAAGTCGAAGACATGAATTTGGAAATGCTCTAAGATGGGTTTTAGCTCCTTTATCAGGTGTTTCTCTTGCACCTGCTCTGGAAGGTTGCGACAGAAGATCTCCATCTCTACAACACATAGATGGAGCAGCAAGCCGGTGTGACCGCCCTTAACAAAAGAGTTCCCTGAGTGGTATTAGAGGACAGAGGGGAAGAAGATAGGACGCGAGCCTATAGACACTGGAAAAGGCAAAGTAGTAGGTAGAATCAAAGGAGTGTTCAAACCCAGGGGCAGGGCCGCTCTGGACTGGTCCGGGCCTGTAGCAGAAAGGCCACCAGAGCGTAGGGAGCGTCTTCCTCACTCTTCTATGCCTACTAAAGAATGTATTATTATGAGATAGTTGTCCAAACTAGCACTCTTTCTCTGGATAGCTGTTCTGGAGAGCTAGATGCCAGCATTCATGTTGACATGGCCAGAGATATTATGGCTCTTAAGATAGCAGAGATAAGTATGAGATGAAACACAAGTGGCAAGAAGAAAAGAGTGTAAGAGAGGGAGATAGACGAGCCAGTGAGGCAGGGAAAAGTGAGCAGAAACGAGTGAATGCTGTTGTTGTTTTTCTTTTTGCTCTCTTTCCTCCCCTTTGTCCTGCAGGCAGAAGAGTTGACGTCGCGAGGCCAAATTTGATGGTGAGGTCGTTTCCAGGGCGGCCTCGGCTGGAAGGTTCCGCGGCTCCACCAAAACTCAATGCCCAACGCCGCAGGCACCGATGAAACGGCTCACAGTCGAAAGCCGTCAAGCAGCTAGCTAGCTAGGTAGATGTTACGGACGAAGGATACAAAAAGACGGCCTTATGCAGATAGATGTTTTGTCTTAACTCGTGCTATCATGGTGATGTTTGCGATAATCCTTATTAGCGCCAGAATCGCCTATTCCTAGTTAACTGCTCCTCCAAAGCCGCATCAAATAACTACATGTTTGCGTCCCCCTTGCGCCCCCCAACAGCTATCTTGACCATTCAAGTAACTAGCATTTTGTCCCCTGAGCGTGCTTGTGGAAGCGTTTGCAGATGTTGCCTGGTCCTCCTTCAGCTGGGCTTGGCCGCCCGGTACGTTGCATGTCGGCAACTGCAGACAGAATGTCGACGAGGAACAATTTCGGGTACTTGCTGGATGCAGATTTGTAAAAGTAGCCATTGATGGCGTAGGATGCATATAAGTCGACCAGCAGAGTCTTGAAGCCGGAACACCCTTTCGATTCCTCATAAGTAAACCGGACTGTCTCCGCGTTGGGCAGGATGATACTGTCGTTACATTTCCCGCGCGCTCTCTCTATGACTTCGTCGATAACGGCGTTTTGGAAGTCGTTGTCTCCAAATTTCTTTCCGATGATGTAGGCTTTGGCCAAGGTTATTGATTCTTTTCTCGTCTGCTGCTCAGAATCGGCACAGGGGATGACGCGTCGGTATATCCAGTTGATATAGCACTGCAGAGCCTCGGTGTACTCGTCTGGTATTCTCAATGTGTACATATTCCCTCTGGCCTCCTTCTGCTCCCTCAACGAGTGTAGTAAGGTTGAGGATTCCTTTATCAAACTCTCATGGATATGAAATGAACTCTCTCCGGCACGGATACTGATTATTTCTCCGCCAAACCTATACGAGTGGGTTAGCAGTGTTATCTTGACGCGTTGTTCAAACCAATGGGATGATAGTAGTACTCAGCCATTTGACTTCTTGATCACTCGGATAAGCCTGGTCCAACATATGCTGTTTGAGACAGTATGTTTTTTTTAGTCAGTCCTGTGGGTTTCTTGGTGATAAAAGGAAGCTACTGTTAAGTGGCTGAAGAATACTAACTAGTTAATGCTAAAGGGGGGAGGTTGGCAAAAGTACAATAAACAAAATGGAAAAAAACCCACTTAGGTGTATAACATGAATAAAATAAGAGATAAATAAGCTGGAAGCATTTGGTATTTGTCTTTAGCAATAAAGGGAAAAGACATGGTGCTATTTCTAGATAGAGGGATTCTATCTCATAGTCATTAGCCTCTTTTATTCTATATGCTAAATAGGTTGGGATAATGGAATGGTATATACAAAACCCATCGCTCTATTAATTATGGCCAGTTTTAAGTGAATCACAATAGAAACTGCTCCTCCGGGGATGGATGATGGATTGGAAGACTTCTTTATCGTATCCAAAAAAAAAAAAAAAAAAGGCGGTATTTTCAGGTATACGCCCGTTCAAAGCGAGCGTTCAATGAGCAATCTCAGACTTTACCTACTCCGAGCAGTGGGTCGGTGGCACTCAAGGGGTATTAATGGTATGTCAAGCCATGAGATTGCAGGTATAAAATAATATAGCATGATATATATGTTCTAGACGAAGCTAGCCGGTGAGTCGGTTATCATATCACTGAATATATCTTCCGGGAATGTGGATTCTGAAAAAGCGACAACGAGCTGCCTCCACATCTAGCTCAAGACTTTGAATTGCGTGATGCTTAAAACGAGGCCTGAGATATACGGTGAGCCATAAAATAAAAAAAAGCTAGCTATACTTGGAGAATAATGCAGGTAAGTAGAATCACCAGTGCATTCTTCAACTCCAAACCTCCGCTGCTCCGCAGGCTCCAACCTCGATGGTTAACTGACATCCGCGCCACTCGTTAATCTGAAGGGTTTCCTCGGAAGGGGTGCAAGAGTATTATGGTTGTCGCCCTCGCCAACAAACCTTGATTCAGGCCGTTTCTTCCGTTGTGACCTGCAGGCGGGACTAACTGGAAGTTACTTAGTTAATGCCTTCATTTGGCCAGGGTAACAGGATAACTAAAAGTTGAGAAAGCCCTCGAGACCCCGGCGGCTCCACGGACGCAACTGGAACAATCGGGACAAAGCGTTAGCTAATGGTAAGACCACTTGAAGGCAAGTCAGCCAGGATCGCTCATCCGGAAGATAAGCAGGAGGCCATCTTCAGCATGCTCATATCAGATAATGCGCAACATCACGAAATGCACGATTAAGGGCAAGGAATATTCTCCGCACTGGCAGCGTCAATCACGATATCCCCAGTTGTTTCTCGGCCATATGTACTTATTTGCCCCAGCGGGGTTTCTCTGATCCCGGTCCTTAGTTATCAGGAGCAAATTAAACTAACGAGCTGCTCTCTTGCAAGGTGGAAAGACTTTCTCCGCATCCCGTACTCCGTACCCTGGACTGCGTATGCGGGAGCGAAATTATGGACGCCAAGGTAGTTAGAGACGTAGGCGAAGGAACTCCGGAGAAATGAGTTTTGCCCTTGGCCGGCCTCCAAAGCAAGCACAGGCAAAGCAGAACACCGGTGGAGAGACGAAAGAAAGGCCATCGAAAGAAAAAGCCATCGGGCATGAAATAAGAACACGACGAGCTTGACTTGCGTCTTCGCCTCGGCTAGCATGTTTGGCGAGTTCGTTAACTAGTTAAGCGTTTCACGTGCCAGGCACAGATGGAGGTTATTTCGACCTCCGACATCAATAATGCGAGCCAGCAACAACAACAACAGCAGCAACAACAGCAACAACCACTTTGATCGACCTGACCGCGAACCCGACTGTGATCACACCTTCGCTCTCGTTTGCCAGCTGCGTTGGGTTGTGTGCATCTTACGGTTGAGACATTGGGGGGAGCGAAGGGTGGAGAAACACGAGCTTGTATATTGCTTGTTGGTACCAAGCTCTTATTGGCGGCCGGAAACAATGCTTGACCAATCTCGCGAGCTTACGAGAGCAATGCAACTGTGACAGGGAGGGCCTTGGTCCGTATGACTATACTTATCTTCCATCCTGGACCCTCTTTTGCTCCTCTACGGTCCCATGCAAACGCATCGCTCACCTGCGGAGCGCGGCACAGAACCTTTCAGGGCCTTCAAGATGCATGTCACAAACGGAGAAAAGGGCGCTATTTTGTTTCTTTCTCGGGTCGCGGAAGGCTGCAGATAGTTATGTAGCTGCTTTGTGTTGCCTGATGATCTATCTGCCAAAAAAAGGGGGAATGGTGCACGGATTGCCAAACTAGCGGTTTTCAGCCAGGCTGTTCCAATGACCCTCTTTCCCCAAGATTTGCCATGGTGCCGATCATCCCTCCAGCTCTGGGGATTTGCCTGTCCTCCCCTGGCGATGGGATACGCTGATCCCATTGATTGGTTTGGCACTGAGGCACTTCTCAAGGAAAGGATGGCACTGCCTAATCCTTGCCCGAAGGACAGAGTTCCTTTAAAGGGGACAGGAGACCCTCTTTTTGTGCTATTATTTAGTTGACAGTTTTTTTTTGATCCCGTCAAGGGGTGGTCTCTCCGACGTCAACTCCCTTGCTAACTTACTTAACGAGAAAGTAATATTACGCTTCTGCTCGAGTCCGAGGACCCGCAACAAGCCCGGGGAAATAATATCAGTACATGCATTGCAAGGATTCTGACTTCATGCACGTCGTGTTACTTCCTGGACCTTACGAAAGAACAGCATTCTAGAACAGAAGCTCTTCTCCAGCCGAACTCGCCATCTCGTAAGCCAGCGGGCAGCTGCGGGAAATTGCTGCTCAACTGGTGCATATATAACACTCTCCTGTCCCTTCCGCAATTCCCCTCAAAAGAGTGACAGCCACAGCCGGAGAAGTCATCGTCAACAGGACTGCCTTCAATTGCCCTCCCCAACCATGGTTTCCTTCACCCTTCGGGCCATTGGCGCCTGTCTCATCGGCCTGCCAGCCTTGATCACTGCTGCTCCCACCTCTCATGTCTCTAATGGTTTCCATGTGGTCGAACAGCTCAATGGAGTTCCTCAGGGATGGGTTCAGGAAGGCTCCCCAGCTCCATCAACGCAGATGAAATTCAAGCTTGCACTCGTGCAAGGGCAAGACCGCTGAATTCGAGCAGCGGGTTATGGATATCTCTAACCCCAAACATGCTGATTATGGCAAATTCATGAGCCGCGAGGAGCTTGATGCCTTCCTACAGCCTTCTTCCCAAGTGAAGGATTCTGTCTTTAACTGGCTCGCTTCCGAGGGTATCTCTAAGCGTTCTGTCAAGTCCAACACGGACTGGCTCACCTTCACCACCAGCATCGCTACAGCCGAGAAGCTGTTCAATACCCGCTTCTACACATTCAAGAACACCGCCGACGGCAGCCAGATTATCCGCACTCTAAAGTATTCCGTTGCTGCATCCGCTGCTCCATATGTTCAAATGGTCCAGCCAACCACCAAATTCAGTGCCCCTCGCCCTGAGTTGAGCAGCGTCTTCACTTCTGACCTTGAAATGACCTCTTCTGCGAATGTTGACTGCAATGTCACTATCACCCCCGACTGCATTCGAGAACTTTACAAGATGGGTAACACTTTTGCTACGAAGGACCCCCGCAACAGACTTGGAATCTCCGGATACCTTGAGCAATATGCTCGACTTGACGATTTCAGCACCTTCATTGACATGTTCGTTCCCTCTTTGAAGGGAACTACGTTCGATTTCAAGTCCATTGATGGTGCAAAGAATGAACAAAACTCTAGCCTCGACAGTGTTGAAGCCAGTCTCGATGTTGACTATGCCATTGGCTTGTCCGGAGCTCTCTCCACCTACTACGGTACCGCAGGACGAGGAAAGCTCATTCCAGATCTCGACCAGCCCAACATCACTGAAAACAACAACGAGCCTTACATTGAGCAGCTGTTCTATCTTCTTGACCTCCCTGATTCTGAACTCCCAGCCGTTTTGTCCACTTCTTATGGCGAGAATGAGCAAAGTGTTCCCCCGACTTACTCTTCCGTTGTCTGCAGCCTGTTTGGCCGTCTCGGTGCCCGAGGTGTTTCCGTCATCTTCAGCAGTGGTGACACCGGTGTTGGCAGTGCATGCCAGAGCAACGATGGAAAGAACACCACCAAGTTCAACCCAATCTTCCCAGCTGCCTGCCCCTTCGTCACTTCTGTTGGAGGCACCCGCCAGATTAACCCCGAAGTTGCCATTCACTTCTCATCCGGTGGTTTCTCTGAGCGTTTTGCTCGCCCATGGTACCAAGAGCTCGATGTTAGGTATTACCTTGGACATGAACTTGAAAAAGGAAAGTGGGACGGCCTGTACAACCCTCATGGACGTGGTTTCCCTGATGTCGCTGCCCAGTCCTATAAGTTCGCCACCCGTGACCATGGAAAGACTATTGGTGTCTCAGGAACTAGGTGAGTCTTGCCCCGTGCCGAGAACTCAGTTACTTTAGGTACTTTGAATGACCCTTGTGGCTAACCTTAACTTTCAGTGCTTCTGCTCCCCTCTTCGCTGGTGTAGTCTCGATCCTCAACTCCATACGTCTCGCTCACAATAAACCAAGAATGGGATTCTTGAACCCATGGCTCTACACCATCGGTCGAAGCGGGTTTACCGACATCGTTCACGGTGGCTCCGATGGCTGTACCGGAACTGATATGTACAGCCACCTCCCTACCCCCTATGTCCCCGGTGCCAGCTGGAATGCCACCAAGGGATGGGACCCAGTTACCGGATTGGGAA